GCCTCGCGATCCCGTCAGGGCGCATGCACTGGCTCAGGCTTCAGGTCCAGTGGCTGACCCTCCATCCCCCACATCCGGTTGCCGCATGCTCTGCTCGCTACGCCTCCTCTGCTGCTCCGCCTGCCGGCTGTCGCTGGCATGGCAGCGCCAGCTTGCTCTTCTAGCCCACGTCAACCTGAGCTGAGCTCCTTCGGCCTTCGCTCCTCCTCCACGCAAACAAACCATCCCACAGCTCACCCCGACGCCCCGTCTCCAGTCGCTGACAAGACACTCCGCCGCCTCGATCCCAGTGCCTCGTCCGCATCCGTGTCGGTGTCGCTCACCCGTGCGGCCCTCCTCATCGGGCAGGCTCGCTAGCCGCCCTCTCGCGGTCTCGCCTCTAGCCTCTCTCCGTTTCCGCACCGCGGCCCCGCCCCGCCCCGCCCCGCCCCGTTCGCGTGTTCTGCTCTGCCCCCCTGGCCGCTGGGTCAGCAGCTCAGCAGAGCAGACCCCCTCGGGCTCGGGGCCCCATCGGTTTCTGGGCCGGGCACAAGTGTAAGGCCTGGATGAGTTCTCAAAATTTTTATCTTAAATTATCACATCGAATTTTACGTACAGAGTATTAAATATAAACGAAAAAATTAATTACACAGTTTGATTGAAATCGCGAGACGAATATTTTAAGACTAATTAGTCCATAATTAGCCATAAATGCTACAGTAACTAACTTATGAATTAATTAGACTTAATAAATTCGTCTCGCATTTTTAGATGAATTATGTAATTAATTTTTTTATTAGTATCCGAAAATATATTACGACATATATGTCATCAAAAAATTTTGTTTCGCGCGCCTGGAAGTTACCCTCCTGCCCTCCGCCACCCGGGGTGCCCTTGTCGCCTTGCGCCGGGGCAGGAGAGTAAAACCATCGCGCCGCGCTCGCGCGGGAAATCCGGAGGGGCGGTGGTACTTGTGGAGGGGTAGTATCACCCAGCTCTGTTTCGTCTCGACACTGCTCTGCCTCTGCCCTTGCCTTGCCCCCTTTCCCCCACTTCTCCCCCGCGGGCGCGGGGCAGGCGTGTGGCCGCCTGCGGGGTTAGGGTTTCATGCTCGCCTCGCCTAGCTTCGGGGACGCCATCGCTTAGCGCGGCGTCGTCCGGGATCGATCCGAGCACGCCCCTGCCGCGCTCCACCTCGGTTCAGTTCCGCCGAACCTCGTCGTCGCCGGCCCGCTCGGCTCGATCGTGCTCTCACCGGACGCGATCGATTTGAAGGTGCGCGCATCCGTCGCTCCTCATTCGCCCTAGCACGTGTCGTGGTCGCCTCGTGATCGAATGCTTCTGTATTATGCTTGCATTTTTTGGGGTCCTGTCTACTGTCTAGTGCTGCTGCAGCCAGGTTTCTCTGAGTTTGGTGGTTTGGGTTGCGTAGATCGGAATGTGCTGCGGGCTGTCATTGTAGGGGTATTGGCTAGTTGGCTTGGTAGCCAGCGTTTCTGTGTCGATGTTTCCCCTCCCTGTCACCTTGTTCTGGGGGATTTTTTTTCCTGTGTTGTTTGATGCGAAAATGGTGTGGCAGGTTGGGGTATTGGATTATTGATACATTATTTTTAGGGCGTGGAGCGAGGCCGCCAAACTTGATAGAATGCTGGCGCCCTCAGATTTTGCTGCCCAACTTGAGTTTACTGGTTTGTGGGTGTTATGTTTCGGATACTGGCTAATGAATGTGGACACAAATGTGACAAGCTTTGAGTGGCCTGTGACTGATACTGTAGTTCAATATTCTGTTATTACCACTATATATATATTCTTCTATGAAAAGCCACCTGGTGATTCTGCTTCCATGTCCTTAAAGTGGCTGTTGGATTGTATACTTCTTTGGGAGCACATTGTGGTCATTAACAGTTTTGGTTTTTCGAAAGGATGTCTGAATAAACAGCTCTCACTAGGGTGTGGTGGATGCTCTGTAGTCAATTTGGTGATGGTTATAAGAGAGTTGTAGCATCTAGTAAGTAGTCCACATCTTTGAATTGTAGGAGTTACAGTAATTGCCTATCAAAGTTAGATCAGGGTGCATTGTGGGTACAAGCATAGTATATAGTGATTATTTAGCTGACTGGGTAAGCTGAGTGGCTGTTTTACCAACAGATGAGTTGTTGTAGTCTTGTAGATGTCAATTTACACTAGGAGGCTCTAGAGAATTGATGTTGAAATGTCACCTTCTGTGGGCCTGCTTTTGAGCTAGCTTCATTAGTTGACATCAGAATAGACGCGAATTTAGTGCTATAGCATGGATCTTTATAAAGTCCAGCATGAAACTTAGATGACTCTAGGCTAGTTCAATGTACGGTGATTTTAGGTGCTCGCTATTGTCTCTTAGATTAAATGAAACAGTATCTTAGGGGTTTATATTGGATATGCAAATCTTGTTTAGTCATGTAGTTGAACATATGACATTTTATAACTGCTGGTTTTCTATTACACTGATTTATACTAGTGTCTAGTTTAACTTTTATCAAGTTCGTGAATCTTGGACTCTTCAAAATAGACTGTATCTAATATGCGATCAGAGCAGGTGAATACTTGATTCCTTAGGGTGTTTGTTTTATTCCCACTCTTGGTTTATTGTGCTACATTTAATTACCGATTTAATATTATGAATTTCATCTCTTGTACGTTCTTAGGATTAGGGCTATACATTTTTTTATTGCCGCATCCTGGACCTTTTACAGTGTCCCTCTTGGACTGCTGAAGGTATCTCAAAACATATTATTATCTGTGTCCCTTTATGCAACTAATTTTGCTTTAAAAAAATTGTTCTCATGAACTTATATTTTGGCATTTTATTTGTTTATGTCATTCTGTGGTGCTCATAAATCATAATTATCCTGGTCGAGATTGTTTTGCATCAATACACCTATGAAAAGGTAGTGTTTGAACAAACGATGGTTCTGGAGAGCCCTCCACCCGGGTGGTACTTGTGTAGGAGTAGTATCACCAGCTCTCTGTTTCGTCTCGACACTGCTCTGCCTCTACCCTTGCCCCCCCCCCACACACACACAACTTTTGCCCCCTCTCCCCATTTACTGAACATTTGCCAAATTAAATAAACAAACCTCACAAAATAATGAATGCAGAAGGGAAAAAAAAGGACAACTCAAGCGTGGGTAAGTAATGGTGCTCGAATTGCCTGGGACTTGTTTCTTTCGTTATGGGAATGCCAGATTAGTCATCTGATGCCCTATATTGAGGTGTTACTGTTTTTTTGTCTGCCAAAATGTTTGGATCAATTCCCTTTATTATGTTTGTCATAGGAGTATCTCATACCTGTATGTTTATGTGATTTTGAGAGTAAAGTAAGCTAGTGATACATCAACATTTAAAATTCATAGGTATGAATATGATAGTATTCTACCAATTTAAATTGTGTGGTAGTATTCTACCAATTTTAAATTTGAGTGAGGAAAGGGTTAAAATGTGATAAGTTATGAAGAACTACATTGGTGATCTACCTTCCAAAATGTAGATGAGATGTTTATGTGTCCTAGGACAATGATTGCTAAGTTTCCGGTTGACAGGACCAGCATGAAGTTATGTAGTGACCCAGTATGTGCAGGCTATTATTTTTCATGGGCCCATTTTCCCTTAAGAATTTTGGTACTCATCTACTGTAGGAACATTTATTTTTGGCAGCAAGCTGCCTGGTGCTTGTGTGTATAATTTATTAGTTGGGCCCTACTGTCTGCAGAATCCAGAATTGAGCTCTGAGCAAAGTCATTTTTCTTGTGAATCATTTGTGATTTGCTGAAGGTTTCTTGTTTGCCCGCATTGATCCTGTATGCTGACTGCATAACATGTAATGGCTGCAAGTACCATCATCGGTTGTGTTTCCCAACTATAAGGATTGCTGCAGTCTTTCACAAAAACACTTGGTCAGTAACAAGATAATGGTTCTCGTTTGCAGGGTAAGGCCATGGAGGGTGGAGCGAGTGCTAGTGACGGCAGGGAATGGCAGTTTCAGATCCCGGAGGGTTTCGTTGTACATACTGCACTCTACTTGGTCTTGGAGAAGATAACCTGAGGACTTCCTCAGGTCAAGCCCCAGGCCCCAGCGCAGCTGACCCCTCGCAAGAGGAGTTGTTCGTCTGCACGTGCCCATCAACTACTCCTGCAACTATTCTCCACACTAACACTGATGAGCTCATCCGGGTGGTTCTCCATCAAGTTGAGGTCTAGTGATAGCTAACTATATATAGTATAGTATGCTACGATCACCCTTAGTTTCTCCTCATTTCTGCAAGCTTGACAGCGCGTTTTATTTTGTTCTGCTCGACCCCTAAGAGGTGAGCTACTGTCCTATGTTTGTGCTGCGTGCTGAAGATGGATCTCCAAAGCGTCGTGCCTTGTGCTTTTGGCTTGAGTGTATCGTAGACTGTAGAATGGGGGTTGTGCCTTGCTACGGACCCCCGGTGGACCAATTAGTAGAATGGAGATTGGACTGAATGCTTATATAAAATTCGTAATGTAATGTAATCCTGATCCTGAATGGCTCGTGCTATACAATTCTGATGTGGGTATCTTAAAAGGATAGACTCAATATCTGCCGCAGCATCTCCTTTTGCTACACGACGATGTAGGCATTTCAAGAGCACAGTGTGTCGATAACGACATTGCAGATAAAACAAGTCCGAGATTACGATGCCTTGGCTGAACCTCCATTACCCTATTCGTTTCTGGTTGGAATCTCTGAAAAGACCAGCGTGAGTGCGTGACTGATCATGTGCCACCGGATTCGAGTCCAGCGTGACGAGATCGAGAGTTGGTTCAGAGAGCCCACAGCCACCCCCATGCCCGGCGCCCCATCCTGTTTTCCATCAGTCCAACTGAAAAGCACCTCTCCGCGCTCCTGCTGCTCCTGCCTCGTAGTCTAGTCTCGTTAGTCGTCACTCCTGCGGGCACTGGCTTCGTAACAACTGCCGATACGCCCGAGAGCGCGGGCGGAGCCAGCGAGAGGGAAGGCGATGAGGTCGCAGCTCAACGCGTCCGTCTCGCCGTCGCTGCCGCCGCCGCCGTCCTCGCTCCGGCGAGCTCTCCCCTCTGCCACGCCCCGCGCCCTCAGGTACGCCGCGCGCACCACTGCCGACCGCCCACTGCGCACCGCACGTCGCCTGCTTCGATACGCTCTAAGTTTCTGTTCCGCAGAGCGACTGAGCCTGAACACATAGCTCTCCCTGTTCCAGGTTCCACGCGTCCCCGTGGCGGTTCCGCGCTCCTCCTCGTCACCACGGCCGCAAAGCTGGAGCTCGCTGCGCTACCAATCTGCCCGCGCCCGGCAGCCAAGGTACGGTGAATCGGTTGCTCTGTCACGGTCTGCTTTTGTCAGTTTACCTCGTCCGCTCCTTGTTATTTATAAGCTTTGTCTTGTATATTAATCAGGAGTTGGAGTGCTCGCCTCCGAGAGGAGGCCCGATGATGGCGACACTACTACTGTGAAAAATGCAGAGGCGCCTAGCACTTCAACATCCACTGCAAATTCCTTGGGCTTTCCCACACAGGTGATCTTTCTTCGCTCCTGTTGTGAGCCAACTACTGTGTATTGAAATAGGTGCCACTGGCTGGCTGTCATGTGATCTGAAGGAATCGTATATATAAACTGCAAGTACAAGGCACATGGCACCATGATTCGAGATGTATGCCATGTTTTCTATGGCAATGTTTCCCAACTAGAGTCTTTTGTCAGAGTATGCAAGTGGTGCTTCATGTGCGGTGAGGATACCCTACTTCTGATTTCCGAGCTGCATAGATGGGAAAATGAATCAGTGCATTTTAAATTCTGTGGAACATTCTCTACCAAACTGGTCACCAAATAACTGCAGTCCGTCTATGCATTTTACGGTGATGGTTTGACTGTGGTGAACCCTCTGAATGTGTTCCATTGGACATGTATGATAATGATACTATGCTTCAGATTGGATGTTATGCTTAGTGTCGTCGTGTGAGAGGATACTGAAGGATACTCATACGCAAGGCCCTCTGTCTAGTCAGAGCACTCTACAGTGAATTGTCTATTTAATTCACATTATGTTTGCTTCATGTTTCTTTTTGTTCCATTTTCCCAGGGGAACTGCAACATGGCTGCCATTGTTAGCATAGCATTCTGCTTTCTACACAGAATCGTTTCTGGACGGATGCAGTTGATGATGAATTTGTTCCCCTGGATGTCAAATGGCATTACAAGTTTGCCATTTGCTTGCATATCTGATCCTACCAGAAAACCCATGCCTCTTAAGCTAGATTTGACTCTTCCACCACTGCCTAATTTTGGAGGGAGTTTTTCACGATTGTACTATCTGTTCAACTCTCAGCTTGATCGGAACATTGCCTTGTAAGTGTGATTCTGTGATGTATATAATTTTGTACTATCTTATGCTTCTTTTGTCAACTCCTTAGTTACACCTAATAACTGAAGTTTATGAAAAATTATTAAATTCACATTTTATCCTGATTATATTTACAGGTCTATTGTTACCTTGCTCATCACATGCTTTTCATTTGTCATTATTGGAGGATTACTGTTTCATAAGTTCAGGTCTGTTGGTTATTATTTAAATATGCATGCATTTTCTTCCTCCCTGTTTTTCAGAGGACATACTTTAGCCTTGACAGTTAATTTTGATGTGAAAATGATGAAGTACCTTGGTTTAAAATCCAGGAAGCAACAACAATCCCTGGAGGACTGCTTTTGGGAAGCTTGGGCATGTCTATGTTCATCATCTACCCATCTAAGGGTAAGTAGGGACTAGGGAGAGTACTGCCAGTTTCTGTAAGGCTTAAGAACTGATACGTTTTTCCTATCCGTTTATTTAAATTCTTTTCCTTTAATGATCCTTTTCTAATCTGTTGTTTTGCTTGCTTCAACAGCAAAAGACACGTGTTGAGCGTGTCATTGGGTTCTTTCTTGCTATCTGGGGTATATTATTCTATTCTCGTTTATTAAGTGCAATGACAGAGCAATTTAGAGTGAGTTATTTCAAAATTATCTGAAACTGAGATGAAAATTTTCTATGTTGATGCGCTTTTTTGACATATACTCACCTGGTTGTCCACAGAACCAGATGCATAAAGTAAGGGAAGGGGCGCAGGTGCAGGTTATTGAGGATGATCATATCATTATTTGTGGAGTCAATAGTCATCTGACGTCCATATTGATCCAATTGGATAAGTACCATGAATCATCAATTCGCTTAGGTTTAGCTACAGCAAGGTAATGAAGGATGGTGTGTCATTTTGGTTGGGTTAATTCACCTTTTTACTTTGAAGGATTGGTATACGATCTATGTATACTATCTAGTCATCTAGTGCAGCTGATTGTTTTCTTATGAACAATGTCCAGGAAGCAGAAAATCCTTCTTCTCTCGGATCTTCCAAGGAAGCAGATTGACAAGCTTGCAGATAGTGTGGCCAAAGATTTAAACCATATTGATGTATTCACCAAGAGGTAAAGGGATTTACTACTCATAGTGTTTCTTGTCTCAACAAGTGGCAAGTTTATTTAATCTGTCTACCGTTATCCCAACTTCACTTTTGTGGAGAACACAAGCACATCTCATGAACAGAAATACTTGCTTTGATATGTGAATACTTAAAGTTGGTTGTGGCTTCTCATTTTAACTTGCAGTGCTAGTCTTAGCATGTCAAAATCATTTGAGAGAGCAGCAGCACACAAAGCAAAGTCTATAATTATCTTGCCAGCAAAGCACGAAAGGTAAGTATGTATCATGAACCTTCGACTTTGCTCATGTTAGAATGTTGTTTTGACGAATAGCTGCCAAGTTCCTCACAGGTTCAGGCTAGCATGTATTACATGATGTTTTCTGTACCGTGTCATTTGAGAGAGGGGCAGCTTGTCCAATTTCTCATAAAGTTCCTTAATATTGGTGAATCAAGATTTTGCTGTCAACTAGCAAGAATTGTAACAGCAGGTCATCTGGTTCTTGTGAAATATGGTTTATATTCATTTGATTAAACATTGGATGACAGTAACTGTTAACTTGAATTTTTGAATGAATGGCTTGAAACAATCAGCTCGTTTCTAATTGCCAAAAAAATATAGTGCGACAAGTTCTTTACATTTTGCAAACTTTAGCACCACCTATCCATGTTTGCATTATGTTCTGTATTGTCGACAACTTTACAAACCTGGTTTGATATTTGATTGTTGATATTTATTTTTCTATCTACCCCCCATGAACCTGATCAGATATGAAGTGGATACAGATGCATTTGTCTCTCTATTGGCTCTGCAACCTTGTACACAAATCGCACCTATCCCTATCATTGTTGAGGTATATGCACGTAGACAATCTATACTATGGATTTTATCAACATTTAAGCCTTTCTGCTTACATTTTATATCAATGTAGGCTTCTAACTCAACCACATGTGAACTTCTGAAATCAATCACTGGCTTAAATGTGCAACCTGTGGAGATGGTTGCTTCTAAGTTGTTTGTGCAGTGCTCTAGGCAAAAGGGCCTTCTGAAAATCTACAAGCACTTGCTTAATCAGCGCAGTAATGTTCTTATCTTACTGTCATATGTCTGTGAATAACAACTTTTATATTGGTGCATTTCCAAGTCAAACTGTGTTACCCAGGTCTTTCACGCTTCACTTTTTTTTGCTATCCTTCTTTCAACCAGTGGCTTATCACATAATTTCTACTGCAATCACCTAAAGGCCACCATACTCATACATAGAAGTTGAATGTACTGCCCTGCATTATATCACATTGTCTTGTTCTTGCCATGTTTTTTTTCAGAACTCTTTGCATTGACAGTTTTGTTAAATCTATATGCCAAACATGACCTAGTTTATCATTCTTCAGAACTTCTGAATTAACATTCACTTAGGGAATATCGTACCAATATACCTGTCACAGCCTTGCTAGGGAAGGGGTGGTGGCTGGTGTTGGCACAGGGGGAGAGGGAGGTGGCAGCGGCTAGGGCAGAGGAGGAGGGGGATGGCTGGCGCAGGGAGAGGGATAGAGGGGAGAGCAACTGCTCAATTCTTGCTTAAGATCCAAACGGTTACATGACCCCTATATTTATAGTCCCTAGGGGACTTGACTCCCAAGCAAACTAGAGGAGTCCTTATACATTTGGACTCTCCTTTCTTAACAAACCAATCTTATTTCATAAACAAACTCTATTTCTATTTATTCCAAATTTATCCGAATCTATCTCTAATTTCCATCTACTCTGGATTCTCCTGGATGGGAGGGGGCCGGTGGGGCCGCTGCGGCGGCCCCCTATCCCGCGCTCCCCCTTGGCTGCGCCCAGGGTGAGGCCGCGGCTGACCAGGGCCCTGTGTTGGGCCTCGTTAGGCCCGCTTGGCCCGACGCTGCGGCCCATATTTAGGCCCGTGACAATACCATAAAATGTATTTGCTACGTGTGCAAATTGTTCTGATATTGCCATGTTTCTGTAATTTTGTCTTTCTACATTTCTGCTTTGCTGGCGCTGTTAAATTTATTCAGCAGCGTTGTGATTACTTTGGTTCTAGATATATAGGTAGTTATGCTACATGGTTTGTTACATTTGTTGTTTTGTCCTGCAGAAAATGTTTTCAACCTTTTTAGCCGGCCTGAACTAGGGGGCATGAAGTATATGGATGTCAGACGTAAAATCCATGATGTATGTTCTTTCCAAACCGTCAATTCAACCCTGCTGTATTCTCCGCCTTTTGCTATTACATTTCCCCTTTATGTTCATGGTCAGGCAGTCGTTTGCGGTATCTTTCGGTCTGGAAAAATTTATTTTCACCCAAGCGAGGAAGAACTGCTGAAAGAAACAGACAAAGTAAGTATCTTTCTCGATGCTGGTTATTGTTTGACGTCAGCTAGTAGAAAATTATTTCCCTTGACATAGGAATTTATGATAACAGTAATTGTTGAAAGCTTAAAGTCCTTGTCTAGTTATCCTGAATGGATGAATCATCCATCAAAGTGAGCTAATGAAATACTGTCATGGGCCTAAAGCAGCAGCTGTCCAAGCTGTTAATATCCAACCAAGGGTATATTATATCCAGCTGTTAATAACTTAATATCCAGTTGGCTCATCAAAGTGAGCTAAGGGTGGGTCTGGGAGTAGGCTTTGCTTCTCCTTTTGTACTTTTTCTTTCTTATTGAAATAATACACAGCTCTCCTGCGCCGTTTGAAAAAAATAGCATCAGTCATGTGTAGATGCCTGTCATGGGCCTAAATACGGGCCACCGTAATGGGCCAAGCAGGCCGAGCGAGGCCCAACGCCGCGCCCTGGCCAGCCGTGGCCTCACCCTGGGCACAGCCAGGGGCGCGCGCAGCTTGAGGGGGGCGGGCGCCACAGCCCCCGGGCCCCTCCCACCCGGAAGAGTCCGGTTTAGATGAGAATTAGAATAGATTTGGATAAGTTTGGAATAAATAGAAATAGAGTTTGTTTAGGAAATAAGGTTGGTTTTGTTAGGAAATGAGAATCCTCTTCTAGTTTGCTTGGGAGTCAAGTCCCTTAGGGACTATAAGAATAGGGATCATGTAACCGTTTGAATCTTAAGCAAGAATTGAGCAGTTGCTCTCCCTTTTATCCGTCTCCCTCTCCCTGCGCCTCCTCCTCTCTCCCTGCGCTTGCCCTCTGTCCTAGCAGCCGCCTCCCTCCCTCCCTGCGCCATCTACAGTAGCTGCACCATCACAATGCCTGACATTTTATATTCAGAATGTTGACTTAATGCACGCTTGATTTTCTTTTTCTTTTTTCGCTTCACAGTTACTTCTTATTGCTCCTATTCATGGGATGAGAAGACCAAAATATAGAGTGTTAAGTGTACCGAAAGAAACACAAACATCGAGTCATTACTCAGAATCAAGAGAGGATCAAGGATCATTTAATACGGCTACTACCATGGATAATGAAACACGGCTAAAGAACATTGTAAAGCGCCCCTCAAAATCTCTTTCTAAGGTAAAGTTTGATATAATGATGTATCTATGGTAATTCATCGCTTTCCAAATTATGGGGTTCATCTGTGGTTAATTTTATGCAGAGCAGTGATTATATGCTGGGACCAAAGGAACGTGTGCTTATTGTTGGCTGGCGACCAAAAGTTACCGAAATGATACGGGAGTATGATAGTTACCTTGGACCTGGTAGTACAGTGGTATGTATAGGCAGTGACAAAAATAAATAAATCGTGCTACTCACATTTTAATCATGGTTCATACAGTTATACCTGTACTCCTATTCAAAAGCTAGGGTATAATTTTACTAACAAATTTAGTTAAATGTGCAGGAAATTTTGTCAGAAACCCCTATTAAAGAGAGGAGCAGTATCATCAATCCCCTTTTGCAGAGCCAGCTTAAAAATGTTGAAGTTACTCATCGGGTATCTCTCAGTCTCTAAGTTTGTTCGTGTACATGGACAGACAAAAAAGTTACTCTCTCAATTTTATCTCAAAACATACTGATACAGGTAGGGTGTCCTTTGAACTATGATACTCTGAAGGAAACGATAATTAACATGCAGAAATCTGCCCCTGATAAAGAGGTTCCACTTTCAATAGTTGTGATATCTGACAGAGACTGGTTTGTTGGAGGTACCAGTAAAAGAACTATGATGTTTATCTATCATCATCATTTCTGTTGTTGATTTTTGTTATCATTATGATAATTATTATAAGTGATTTTTTATTTGTGACTCTGGTTCCAGCAGATGCTGCACAGGCTGATAAACAGTTGGCATATACCCTTCTTCTTGCTGAAAACATTTGCCAGAAACATGGTGTTACGGTCAGCTCTGCTCACCAATACTTAACTAATAATGTTTATAATGCAATAAGTGAACCTGCATGTTTGCATCAAAGTATCTATTAGTCTCAAATGTGACCCAGAATGTACAAATCATTGTTTAGTGAGATACATTTGGTTTCATGATGCTACTTTATTCTTTGTTCTCTGTTGATAACGGTTGTGTTCTTGAATTATACATTTAAACACTTGAGTCGCTTTCAGCGAGATGCACATGGCCGCAGGCATGTGTCATGGCGCTTGGTGGCACGCCCAGGGCAGCCGGCCTTTGGGGTGTTTCTCGGCTTGCGTCCAAGAAGTTTCTTCTTAATGCAATGCTGCAGGGGCGGTCTTTCCCCTGCAGGTTGAGTTTTTTTTTATAACGGGACTTAAATTGGATCCTGATGTGGTTCGATTAGCCATTATCCAGTGTTTTTTTCTTATAAATATAAATATTCCTACTTTAAAATCCAAAAAGACACCTATTTGTTTGTGTTATCTGATTTTTCACTTGAAATGCCTTTTAGGTTGAGAATCTTGTATCAGAAATTGTTGACATGGGACTGGGAAAACAAGTAAGAATTTTCTAATATATTAAATTGCTCAAGTCATGAAAACTATTAAATTTGGACAAAAAATTCTTGACTTCTGCATTTTATATAGATATCTAAAATAAGACCATCCCTTTCATTTATTGGAGCAGAGGAAATAATGAGCCGTGTTACAGCACAAGGTTGGTTGTCTGTTTTGTTTCGTTTTCTTTGAAGTTCTTTTTCTAATGCTAACAATGAAATGTAGTTGCGGAAAGTAGTGAGCTGAATGAAGTCTGGAAGGATATCCTGAACGCTGAAGGCGATGAGATCTACATTAAGGTACTATTGCCATAGTTGGTGTTCCCAGCACATTATAGGCTGCCTGTGGTCTTTAAAGCATTTACCCTGCTGCGTTTATTTCATTTTAGGAAATTGGGCTGTACATGAAGGAAGGAGAGAAGATATCATTCTTGGAGCTTTCTGAAAGAGCAGTTTTACGTCGTGAAGTTGCGATTGGTTACGTCAAGGACGGCAAGCAGGTAATTTGTTTTCTTTGTTATTTGTCCGTTTATGTGTAAATGATGTTCTAAGTACATAAGGTCTTGTTAAGATCATCTTTTTGTTCAGATGCCATTAAAATTCTATTGACCTGATTTGCTTAGACATGAGGTTCTTTGTCATTTTGAACGTCAGCAGCCATAATCTGTTAGGTGCTAATAACAAATATTTACTTTATCCTATGGCAGCATATTAATCCTATCAACAAATCGGAGCCACTGTTTCTTGAAATGAATGATTCACTCATTGTGATATCGGAGTTTGAAGGTGAACAGCCAATTATGATGGAAGAAGGAACTTCAAGATAGAATTTTCATCTTATATCTCTTCACATAAACTTTAACAGCTGTTGCTACTATGAAGAGATAACATATAACCTGTTTATAATCCTTTTCTTTTTGTACAAAGGGAAAGCAAAATATAGTTTAAAGACCACAAATTAAGTTTTGTTCCTTCCATAGCTATAGAACTTCTTTGGTGCAAATATTTTACTGCACAGTTCAACTGCAGAGTCTTTTCTATTTATCTGTAAACATATAGTGAATAACACGGACAACTTGTATGGTCCAGATGTCTGAATAAAGAAAGGATAAAGGAAAGTTGATTGAGTATGTGCCTTGTTGTTTCCTTCTGACTAATGAATACAATGTTTTTTTTTTAATCCTGGAGCTAGACAAAATCAACTAGGTATGGCCTTGCTGTTTTCTTTGTGAGATAAATTCTTCCCCTCTAGCATTTCACATTTGACATAAGAAAAGGCTGTTTTACCCTTAGCTTCATTCACCAAACCATCCAAACCTTTCAACTGCTTCAGCTTTTGGGGGATCTATCTTTGGCAGAGCAACTAAGAGGTCTGTTAAACATTCTTGTTCTCTTGCTTGTCCATTTGTTTTACCTACAGGCTGTATCTGACTTGATCTCCACATATATTCATGCCCTAATTCAGGCATAACACAAGGATGGGAGTGATGAAAGTTCAGGTCCGACAACTCAGAACCTTATCACTGGGGGCATATGAAAACTTATTTGTATGCCAAAGGAAATCTGGTTCTTGTTACCATTCATGAGGTGCTCCCCAAACTTATACTGACGCAGGCGATCGACAGACAGACATTCAGGCTGCTCTTTCTGAGCCAGTTACTGACACACGAGGACATCATTTTGATGCTTCTGCTTGATGGATGCTTCGTTATCAACAGTTTATTGTGGCATGATCGGAAGAATGGCAGAGAGTATGTATGCTGCGCAAAGTCATGTCTGGATGAGGAACAGGGAAGTCCAGTGGGAAATGCCCTTGGAGTGAAGCTTGGTGGCCGTTGACATTCATTCTCCTAATGGAGAGCCAGATTTCTTTCACTGCTGTCAGGATCTCGTTCGACATTTTCTCTTTATATAAAGCACGACTTACCTCACAGCACGCGCAGAGAGCATGTTCAAGAAGTATCTCCCAGCTGGAATGCACACTTTTTTCTTAATTTAATTAAAAAGAAGGGGTAAGTAAAAAGGCTGAAATGCGCACAAGCCTCCACTGCAGCAGTGCACCCTGTCTGAATTCCGGACCTAGACTGATGGATGGAGCCAGTGCCAAATCCACCAGCATCTGGCATGGATCCTACAAAGAAGCTCGAGACTGATGGTATTTCAGTATTCACTATTCAGTATCAGAACAAAGAAGGAGACGGCAGTGGTGGGCCTCGAGTCGTTTTGAGGAGGTGTTCTGATTCCTGGACATCATTTTCAGCCGTGCTGTGGTAAAAAAACCTCGGCTGGAGATCAGTGAAAGCATTCAGCCCGAATGCTGACTACCAGGACACGGAGTGACTATCACTATCCTATCCAGTATCCAGGTGCTCTGCCCAACCAGAACTCCTGTAACACACGAATTACTCCATTGTTTGTACAAGAGAAAAATCTGGTGGAGCAATCAGATTAGGGGATCTCAAAACAGAATAGGAAGGACTACAGAGTCGAATGGTGTGTTTGGTTTGAGGAACTTCTCACTCCTCATTTTTTCTATTTGGTTTATGGAATAAAATGAGTTAATCTATCACCACTTCATTCCTCACAAGCTAATAATTAATATATACATGAGGAATAGATTGATTCCACCAAAATTCATGAAATGAACTCATGATGCATAAACTCATAAAACATGAGATGACTCTATGAACCAAACACACCAATCTCCACAATCAAGTACATCTGGAGTGAGGTCAGCAAGACAAACCTCGCAAATTCGTTTACGTGACGCCTTCATAGTTGATTAGCGGGGTTCGGTTGTTCCCAATCTGTACGCCTTGAGACCGGAGGAAGACGCATTCTCTTCTCTCCACACATACACACACCAGACGAATCGTCTATCTGGCCAGGCCTCGCCTCGCCTCTCGGCTCCCTCCCCTCCCCCACACTCTGGCGAGGAGGCAGCCATGGCGGCGCACGCGACGCTCCCCTTCTCCTGCTCCTCCACGCTGCAGACCCTGACCCGCACCCTCTCCCCGCGCGGGGCCCACGGGCTCCGCCGCGGCTTCCTCCGCCTCCCCTCCCTCGCCGCCCTCCCGAGGCTCGCCCGGCCCTGCCGCCGCCACGTCTCGGCGTCCGCCGCCAACGGCGCCTCCGCCGAGGGGGAGTACGACTACGACCTCTTCACCATCGGCGCCGGGAGCGGCGGCGTCCGCGCGTCGCGCTTCGCCTCCACGCTCCACGGCGCGCGCGTCGCCATCTGCGAGATGCCCTTCGCCACGATCGCCTCGGACAAGCTCGGCGGCCTCGGCGGCACGTAAGTGGATGCCTCTCCTGTTCATGTATTGTATTGTACTGTACTCCGTGTATTTTTGCTTGGCCTGCTGATCGTGCCTTCGCCACAAAGTTTGCCTCGGTTTTGCATCTGCTATTCGCATGGTTGGGCTGAACTTCTGTCATGGAGTGATTCTAACTGGAGGGTGATTGCCTAGTAAACTGCTGCCCGTACAGTTACATTTAATCGTTAGTGTTGCTTGGCTGCGGAGGTTTTTATTGGGACTACACCACTGTAGTACTGCCATGTGCATTAATAGTTTGTTTGAATGGGTATTTGGACTGAGAACACTAAATGCATCCGCACATCAAAGTGTGGCATACTATTATTTTTATGAATTTGCTGTCTATGATTATTGATTGCCGATGTCTCTTCTTGTGTTGGAGATGTTGGCCTGATGTTACATCAGTGTTTGAGCAGGTCGGACATAATCCGCTAGAGTGTTAATTAAAGTGTGCAACTTTCATCAAAAGGGTGTGCAACTTTTGATAAATGCTTGAAGTTTTGCTGTTTCGACTAGAGTGTTAATTGATGAATTTGGTTGGATGTACAATAGGCTCACCTGCAGAAATTGCAAACCCTTCTGTGTTGCCTGTGCCACTGTAATGTAACCTGTTTCAGCATTGCTGCAGCATTTGCAGTTTAATAATTTTGGACAGAACTGGACCACGTATTTGATGAGCCTCTACTATTGAGGAGATGCAAAATGCTTATGTGATAGAGTCAAAAGGAATCTGGAAGTGTAGTTGCAGAATTTACCACATGACTACAACATTCCTTTTTCTGTCTAATATCTAATCTGTCTATTCTTGGTAGGCTGTTAACCTTCCTTTAGCCTGTCTATTCTGTGTTTGCCATTGATTTTATGTTCCAAACTAATATTCATGAAATCTGCTTAGTACTTAGCAGTCAGTTTTATATTTAGCCTTATAATATGCTTTATTTGTTGACTTTTGATGTATAGCACAATACCTTTTTTCGCATCACAGATGCGTGCTTCGTGGCTGTGTTCCAAAGAAATTGCTGGTGTATGGATCCAAGTACTCTCACGAGTTTGAAGAGTCTCGTGGCTTTGGATGGACATATGAGACTGATCCGAAGCATGATTGGAACACTCTCATAGCCAATAAAAATACAGAGCTGCAGCGCCTAGTTGGCATTTACAGGAATATTTTAAACAATGCAGGAGTCACTCTGATTGAAGGCCGTGGAAAGGTTGGGTGATGTTTGTATATCAGGTTATATTTTGGATAAGACTGCCTCTGAAATGAATACTGCATCAAAAGGTGTGTTTGCTTATGTATTCTTTTTCTTAGTACAGATTGTTGATCCTCGTACTGTCAGCGTGAATGGTAAGCTCTACACTGCTAAGCACATACTAGTTGGTGTTGGTGGCCGACCATCGATGCCAGATATCCCTGGTATAGAGCATGTTATAGATTCGGATGCTGCACTGGATTTGCCTTCAAAACCTGAGAAAATTGCAATAGTGGGAGGTGGCTATATTGCTTTGGAGTTTGCTGGCATTTTCAATGGCTTAAAAAGTGAAGTCCATGTGTTTATTCGGCAGAAGAAAGTTTTAAGAGGATTTGATGAAGAGGTGAGCATATATTTAGAAGAGCAAAGGTAGCGTTGGTAACAGATAAAATGTATTGCTTCTTTGTTTATTTTTTGTCCTTCTGTTTTGGATGCACAGGTTAGAGATTTTGTCTCTGAACAAATGTCTTTAAGGGGCATCACATTTCATACAGAACAGAGCCCTCAAGCTATAACTAAATCAAATGATGGTCTGTTATCTCTGAAGACAAATAAAGAAACTTTTGGTGGGTTCTCACATGTAATGTTCGCAACAGGTCGCAGGCCAAATACAAAGGTAGTAACACAGAGCACTTGCAGTTCTTGAGATTTTACACATATATTGATTCATTCATTCTAATTCCTGACATAGTTGCAATCCTTGTAGAACCTTGGACTGGAAGAGGTGGGGGTCGAAATGGATAAGAATGGTGCGATAGTGGTAGGTTATTACAATAACTGGTGCCTAGTTTATCTCATTTTGTTTGCCGCTCTGTAATCTTTGGAGCTTTTGCAACAATTTCGTGCTAGGTTGATGAGTATTCTCGTACCTCAGTTGATTCCATTTGGGCTGTGGGAGATGTTACCAATAGGGTCAACCTGACACCAGTTGCACTGATGGAGGGTGGGGCATTTGCGAAAACTGTTTTTGGCAATGAACCTACCAAACCAGATTACAGGTATGTATATTTATCATATCATCACCAGCAATCGTGAACACCACATATTGATGGTGGTTGTCCTGATGGATCATTTGGCTTACCTATCCAACCAGAACAGACTTTGAGCTTTCTACTGAAAACCATAATTAATCTCACTACTTTATTGTTATGGGCAGCCGGCTGGGCTCCCTAGACTGGTTTGGCACAGTAGCATGACCCTTACTGTAGCGCCTTCTCCCTCAAGGTTACGGTTAGTTAGAGATAATGTTAGGTTTGT